ATTCAGACTGAGATCAGGTGGATGGTCACTCAAGGATGCTTTACTGGGCCTGACAGACAAAACTGGGACAAACACGACCAAAAGGCTGGTTAGAATACATTGCATCGATGTTGCATGAGAAGTCTTAGCTAAATTAAATAAACAGAGGTTCGGAGTTCACAAGCAGGCTAATAAACACTTCATTTTATCATCACAAATAACTGACAGACAAAATAAGTAAACTTGTGTGTAGTTTCAAGTTTAAACTTGGGCTTGAAAACAATTCAAACTTAGTTTTTAAGACGGAGCAATCATTTATGCGACTTACCAGCAGGGAGATATAGAGACTCTGCTGCTGATGACGTAGCTCCGCCCCGCAACATCATGTGCGCAATGAGTGATGCAACAGCCAATGGGAGTTTTCCCAATTTATGCATGAATTTAACTAATTATTTTAACTCCGTTACATACACCCCCCTTAAATTCTGCTAAATTGGGCTAGAACCAGCATATGTAACAAACAGAACATACAGTAAAGATTCCAGAAACAAACAAAAAAAAGATATGAGTACAAGAGCTTTACATTACAGTATGTCAGAAAGTCAATCTCTTCCCAGGAAGTGTGTAAGAATGGAATGGTACCAGGTTCCACACTTAACACAGACTATAGGAGGTGCAGCCTACACACTCCTAGTAGTAAGACATGTATCTCTGCTCTTTGAACTTTTCTTAGTGCACAACAAACTCCTCAGACTTCAAGGAAAAAACTCAATTCACATTTAAACTCTTAACACCACAATTGGCTTTTAGATATAAATCATCATTCAGACTCAAGTGCACTAAACAAAAATGTTCCTTATCAAATCAACAAAATTTGATCCCTGAAAAATTACATGTGCAACACTGTTTGAATCACTTCCCACAACCTTTTGTTGATCAATTTCACAAATAAGTCTGTTAGGGACCCTGACTGATCTCCCTAACCGTGTGGTTATGTGGCTTGTGCGTGTGCTTGTGGGCTGTTCGCAGATGACAGGGACAGGTCTGTTATCAGGTTCTTGCACGCAACTGGATGACTCATTTGGCTCAGTAACGGTTAAACTCTCTGTACTCTTAACAGGTTCAGGAACATGCTCGGGTTCTGGACTGTTTTGATCATTGTCAGAACACTCTGAAGCAGTCATCTCATCAGGGATGTCTAAAGCTCCATCACAATTGGTATCCTGCATTTCAATCCTTTCATGTGTTCCATCCATTTGCAGTAACCATTCTTATGTCTTTGAAACAGGATCAGTATCGTCCATCAGAGCAGAATCAAGAGCACTGCCACGGGTAGCACATGTGGAATTTGATCGAACAGATTCCTCTTCATCATCATCCCAGGATAAGAAATTCACTGGAAGCAACAGATTTCTGTGCACTACTTTTTCTCTGCCAGTCTGAGCATCCTTAATCCTGTACACATTAATCTCTGGTCTCACTGATTGTACTTCGTACAGAACAGA